GCTTCCTTCCGACTTAAAAGAGGCCCCTTTCCTGTCTGCGGGATCACTGAGTCAGCTGCCCGGGACCCCGTCTGACGCCCCCTGTCCTTCCAGCGTCGCTGGGCATCCAGTCCGATTAATGGCAGTGAGTTTGCATTCTGTTAGCTTGTTTGCCCTGATATGTTTGACCTTTTCTCATTTCAGTTTCAGTAACATCATATCGGATATGAAAATTGCCAAATCTGGAAAAGCTAGAGCCCGCGTAAGACCAGAGCATCAGATTCAGTTTGATGAAGAGCCGGAGACTGATCCTGACGGTCAGCAGAGTGCCGAGCTTAGGAGAAGGTATCCAGGCCCACCTGGCTTTGTTTGCTTTCAGATTAGCTGCGTTGTGGTTGCTGGATGCTGTGGGTTGGTCCCCACTCATAACTTGCTGGTGACGAAACCTCGCTTAAAAGCCTCTTTGAAAAGCGCAAACCCACTGCCACTGAGTCGGTTCTGACTCTTACATAGTATAGGTTCCCCAAACTTAGTTAGCTGCCTGGCCCCCTTCATTCAAAACAAAAAAGAAAAAAATTGCTTCGTATCTCCCTGGCAATAGAAAACATTTTACTCCAGCCTGTAATCCAGGATAAAGTCTCGGGATCTGCTTTCACAGCAGTCTGTCCCCGTCCCCTCCCCCTCATCGTTCCAGCACTTCCAGAGGGGGTGTCACCCGCTCGGGGAAACACTGCTCTCTCTCTAGGGGTCCCAAGACTAAATCAGTATGGGAGCAGACAGTCCCTTCCCTTTAGTACTCTCCTCTGGGAATTCTCCCTCCGCAGGGCGGTTCACCCTGTGAGCCCTGCCGTCAGTGATCAGCCTGCCGACCTGACACTCATGTTCTGAAGGCCGGGCTGGAGGAAGTGCGCATGACCTGGTGGGTGGTTCTGGAGCCTGGGTGGTTCTGTCAGGAGACACGGGTCCTGCTAGCGCGTTTCCCAAAGTGGGCGATACCGCCTGCTGGAGGGGGTGTAACTGTCCAGGGGACTTTAAAAGCTGATGCCTACATTTTATGCTGGATTATGGGATATAATGCAAAAGTTTTTAATTGCGGGGAGGAGTAACATTGAATATATTTTTCTTTTCTTCTGAAAAGGGGTTGTGGGCCAACTAAGTTTGGAATCTGTGTGCTCGAGGAAAGCTTATACCATTGGAGATCACTGTAGCTCATTTGAAGGAGTCGTGGTAGGACAGTGGGTGAGTGCGTGGTTGCTAACTGCAAGGTTGGTGGTTCAAACCTCTCCAGCCACTCCAATGGACCGGAATCGACTTGATGGCCGTGGGTTTAGTGTAGGTTTGGATTTTATTTTTATAATGGTGTTTATATCGTTTCAGTTCATATTATTTACTACACACACAAAAAAAATTGGATCTAAAAAGTAAGGCCTCAAAATTATTTTAAAAACAAACCTTCCAGTTTATAACCTGGCATTTAATCTGCCAAACTGGTTTGTAATCTACCAGTGAATTTACTCAAATATGAGAATTGTGGCCACTTGTAAACCAGTTGGTTATGACAGAGAAGGGAAAAATTACCTTGGAGCTCTTGGTGTGCATTTCAATAGTCAATTAATAGTTTAATGAAGAAGGTTAATAATTATTTTTAATTACAGAATGATTGCTTTTTAAATTAGTATTCTATCTCAGTAACATTTATCATTATAATTTGTAATTAAACCTTGCAGTGTTTTCTGTTCTTCAGACAAATGTTTACTTCCACAGTTTCTAATTTAGCACATCTTGCTAGCTTTCCACAGAACTGAGTTGTTTAAAACCGTAATCTGAAATGGATCAAATGAAAATTATGGCAAATTACGCTAATCGTTTCAATTAGGTATTATGGAAATGAAGCTGTTGTAAGTGCTTGGATGTATTTTGAAGCAAAAACTCGAATGTACAAGCTCTGCTTTAGCAAGCAGTTTAAGAGATGTGACAATTTAGGCTGGGATCAGTCATTGGCGTTTTGTTTTATTATGATTTCCAATCTTTATTGTAGGCTCTGTGTTTTCTTTTGTAGATTTCAATCTAAAATGTTTCAGAATTTTTGTCTTGGTAAAAAATGGGAGATTTTGAGCCAACTCTCTTTTTTCTTTTTTGATTTAATTAATTAATTGATTAATTTTAATAATTTCATTGGGAGCTCTTGCAGATATCATACCATTCCATAGTTCAGTCAAATCCAGCAGTGTTGTACAATTGCGACCCCTATCAGTTTCAAAACCTTTTCTTTCTCTGAATTCCTTGGTATCAGCTCCCCTTTATCCCCTCCCTCTCCCACCATTGGCATTTTGAGTTTCTGTGTAGAATATTTCACATGAAATTTTTTCTCCAGTAACTTTTAGTTGATAATATATAAAATTGTTCACTAAAATAGATTTGTTTTCTTTCTTCTTTTAGTCTTAGGAAGAGCTTATCCAAGGGAAAGAGACTGAATATTTTTGATAGTAAAGCTGCCGTCGAGGAACTTGAAGCAGGTTTGTTACAAAAACAAAATGATATTTTTCAAGTGTACAAACAACCCACCTCTCAAAAAAATGATTCAATTGCATAGTGAGTGGGTGTTTTAATGTTCTAACCTGTCACTGACCTGGATCTTGCTTATGAATGTAGTCGTTAAGCATTGATGGCTTCTAACCACAAGATCACCAGTTCAAAACCACCAGCTGCTCCCCAGGAGAAAGATGAGGCTTTCTACTCCCGTAAAGAGTTACATTCTCGGACCCCTCCAGGGCAGTTCTTCCCTGTCCTGTAGGGGCGCCACGAGTCGGAATTGACTTGATGGCAGTGCGTTTTTGAGTTTGAACCTTGAATAGGTTCTCCCCTGGACATGTTGCAGTCTATGAGACCTTGTGAAGTAAGTACTACTAGAATGTGAACTTAGAAATGTAAATGAGTTACCAATTTGAGTTGGAAAACTAGTCATTACCTTTGCAATGCCAGGGATAAGTAGACTGTGATTCCCACCTGCAGGCAGTTTATAGAGTAGCACTTCCATATTCAAAGGTTTCCGTCTTTGAGGAAGAAGACTTCCACTTCTTTGTCCTGCCGACGAGACGGGTGGTAAGTTTGAGCTGTGGAGCACTTTAACCACTACACCACCAGGGCTCTGTATGTAGAAAAGGGCATGTTTATAGAGGTATCTTAAATCCAGTGCATTTACCTTCCAGTCACTTTGGACTCATGGCAACCCGGTGTACAGAGCAGAACTGCACTCTAAAGAGGTTTCAAGGCTGCATCCTTTTGGGAAGAGGCCTTCATTCCGAGGTGCCTCTGGGTGTGTTTGGGCTGCCAGCCTTCAGTTGGGAGTCACACACTGTCTGCAGCATCCAAGGGCTCTGTAACATAACTTTCTGGAAACAGCTTAGGGATTGTTCGGGAGCTATGAAGAATAGCACATAAGGAATACATTCCACCCACGTCTAGTGAAGTAAAAGGGCTGAACAAGAAATTTCAAAAGGCAGCTCGAGAAGACAGAGTCAAATATTATAATAAAATGTGCGAAGATCTAGAGGTAGAAAACCAAAAAGAAAAAAATGCTCAGTTTGAACTCAGTTATCTTAAACTCAAAGAACTAAAGAAAAAAAAATTCAAGCCTCAAGTTGCAGAACTGGAAAATTCTGTGGGTGACTTATTGAGTGATGCACGAAGCATCAAAAGGAGATGGGAGGAACACACACAGTCACTTAACAAGAAGAATCCGTTGACCTTCAGCGGTTTTAAGAAGTAGCCTATGATCAAGAACCAATAGTGCCGAAGGAAGAAGTCCAACTGCACTCGAGGCATTCGCCAAAGATAAAGTTCCAGAATTGATAGAATACCAATCGAAATGTTTCAACAAGCTGATGAAGCACTGTAAGCCCACGCTTGTCTATGCTAAGAAATTTGGAAATGTTGATGGCAACATATGTACAAGTGTGCTTAGTACTACTGAATGATGGATTGTTACAAAATTTATAAGAGCCCACCAATAAAAGGATTAATTTTTAAAAATTGCTAAGATTCTTAAAAAAAATTAAAAAAGAAGAAGAAACAAATCTGTCTTGGCCGAAGTACAATCAGAAAGCTCCTTGGAAGCGAGGACGGTGAGACTTTGCCTCACAAGCTGCACGTGTTTTCAGGAGAGACCAGCCAGTCCCTGGGGAAGAAAGAGCATCGCGCATGCTTGGTGAAGTAGCTGGACAGGGAAAAAGAGAAAGACCCTCCGCACGAGGGGCAGGCCCAGTGGGCGCAGCAGTGGGCGCAAGTATAAGAGCAGCCGTGAGGATGGCACAGACCGGGTGGGGGTGTGTTCTGTTGTGCGCAGGGCCACTGAATGAGAACGGCACCCAACAACAAAGCCGCCCCACCCCCACCTTAATTATATCGTTTTTCTTCATTTTTTATCCTTCCTGCTTTTTCTGGGTAACAAGTCAAATCTTAAAACTCTCTATCTTTAAGCCTGATTGAAAGAAATGGGTATATACTTGTATGACATTAAGTTTTGTTTATCAGTAACTTAGAATAAGTGAAGGCGCACAACATGGAAGGTCTCACTGCTTACAAGTGAGCCTCATTCCTAGTGCTGGGAGTTAGCTGATGGATTATTGGTGCCAGTCTTCACTTGCTTCCTTAATCGTAACAGCAGCTCCGTGTATAAATGTACTAGGCCCGCATACATGCTTCGTGTCTCCCTGGCCGTGTGGGCAGACGTGGTCAGGCTCAGAGAGACAGAATCTAAACAAAGTAGGTAAGCAGGGTTTATGGAGGTGGGCCTGGTAACAGCAGTAGAGAGGCAGCCAGGAGACCAAATCATAGTGAGATATACCTCCTAGAAATTTATCTGAAGGAAATAACCATAAATATCTCAGTGGCTTATGTGTTGAGATACTAAACCGCAAGGTCAGCAGTTTGAAACCACCAGCTGCCCTATGGGGAAACAAATGAGGCTTTCTACCCCATAAGGAGTTTGTCGCAGAAACCCACAGGGGCAGTTCTACTCTGCCCTGTGAAGTCATTGAGTCGGAGTCGACTCAATGGCAGTGAATTTGGTTTGGTTTTTGGATCCGTAAAAGTATAACCACAAGGATTTCTCATTATTATTTTGTTAAAGGAGAAAACTTAGACGATCAAATGGTTCAATAATAGGTGAATTAATTGTGTACAGCTCTCTAATGGGCTATGAATGCAGCCTTTATTACACGAACAAAGGAAGTCTGAAAATGATGTGATTCTAGTTTATTATTAAAAGCAAAGCCACATGGAAAAAATAGATCACAAAAATAATGAACTGAAAATGAAATTTTAGGGGTAAAGGTTGAATAAGGAATGTTGATAAAATCGACATGACTCATTTTACTGTTTTTACTATATTATGCAATCAGTTGCCCACATTTAAAGTATACAATTTGATGTGTTTGGACAAACATATACACCTGTGAAACTCACATCTCCATCCAGATACTGTTTCTGTCATCTTGGAAAGGTTTCTTGTGCCTTCCACAATCCACCCCCCCTTTGCCTCGTCCCCAGGCAGCCCCTGATCCGCTTTCTGTCATGTTGCAAGTGAGTCACTTGTGTCTCCTTGAATTTATGTGACTGTCGCTGCTCGTGTCTTACTCCTTTTACTGAGCGTGGTGCTGTGAGACGTGTCCGTGTGGGCAGCTGCCAGGTGAGGAGTACTGCTGACTAGTGGATGGTTATAGGAAGTGTCCCCTGCTTCAGGTGCATTTGAGCTATCATTCATAATGTGCACTGCATACAGTGCTGCGATGTGGAATTTGCTAGTGCTATTAGATCTTCACTTGTGGATGTTCATAATATGGTGTATTAGTCTAGGTACTTTGGAGAAACAAATCCACAGCAACTCATGTATAAGAGAGAGTTTTATGTAAAGAAAATGTGCATCACAAAAACATCCCAACCCAATGCTGCCCAAGCCCACAAGTCCAACATTAACCCATTAACCCAACACCAGTCCATAAAGTCCTCCACCTCACAAAACAGAGGCAATGATGCCGACTGCAGGAGGAAAGCTGAGTCAGTGAACGAACAAGCATCTCAGCACTAGCAGGGGTCTCCACATGGCTGCTCCAGCACCCAGGGCTGCATCGGGATAGGTCCATGTGGCTTCTCCTTGGGGATGTCTTATAGGAAGTCAATCTTGCAAGCTGAAGCATGGAACTGCTAAGGCAGCTGCACCCGGTGCAACCATCCCAAAACAAGAGACCCGAGAACTAGAAAGGCGAGGCTTCACCACCCATTTATCCCTCCGCCTTTCAATTAGCCCCGCATGTGATTATCGGCCAGGCTGGCACAATTAACTAACTCATATGGTAATAATAAAAAATTAAAAAAAAACAACGATATCACCACCATTGAGTCGATGCTGTCCCAGCAGCTCTGTAGGGCAGTGTAGAACTGCCCCTGTGAGTTTTCGAGACTGTAACTCTGCAGGAGTAGAAAGGCCCATCTTTCTTTTTTAATTATCACACGTTATGTTTATTATTAAACTGTAATGCCAGGCCAAGCAGATTTTGACCAGGAATAGTTAATAAAAATGAAAATACACTAATTAAATTGACATCAGTTCTGATAACCAAGAAGAGGAACACTAGTTAACACATTGTTACTATATTTTGGAATAGTTTTTCAAATAAGATACGTGCCATCAACATAATTTTTTATATCTCAGTTTTTTATCTTGTATTTAGGCTAGTGATAACCCTTTGTTACATTTTAAAATGTTATGTGACTAGCATTATCCTTAAAATCTGAAACCTCATCTTTCTTTTGGTGGTTTAGAACTACTGACCTTACCGTTTATAGCCCGATATGTAACCACTATGCCACTAGGGCTCTATGGGAATAATAAAGAATGCCTTCTTTTTAAAAACTCCGCCTTACCTCATTTACTCCATGATTCAGGGACAATCTGTATATACTTGTCCCGCATCTTGCACCCGCCTGTTGGTGGACAGTGTGCTGCTGTGACTGCCTGTGTATCTGTCATGCTCCTCGTCTCCTGTGGACATACCCCACTGGGAACTGGGAGGTTGTATGCTAACCTCGTAGAAACGGCTAGATGTATGTTAACTTTATAAGAAGCCGCAGACCTGTTTTCCAAAGCACTTGTCCCATTCGACATTCCTGCCAGCAGCGAGTGATGCGATTCATTGAAAGAAGTTTTAAATCTGAGAAGCAAATACGCGATTGAAGCTTAAGCACATGGAGGAGGCACAGAGCCAGTGTGCTGTTGTCTTGGGTGTGCTGGCTGGGAGGGTGCAATGATCTGGTGCCCCAAGAAGCATTTAGCGCATAGTAAGTGCACAGTACCTTTTAGTATTGTTGTCCTTAGGTTACAATAATTCTGTTGACTCCTTGGTCTTTAGTAGAAGTATTAGTATGTTAGTGACGAACCTTGACAGATTCCAAAGAAAAACAGGCTAGAATTTAAAGATCGGTGCCACATGTTATATAAATACCCACACTTAGAAAAATACCCTTGTGGAGAAAATGTAAATTTATTTTTTACTCTCCAGTCGGAGGGGCAGTGAGACTTGAGGGGCTGACTGCCCAGCATTGTAGTAAAACAGTGGTTAAGTCTCGCCAGTCGTTGTAATGATAGTCTTTACATGTCATTTTCATTGTTCGGTGGGACCTCAGTAGGTGACGTCACACTTCAAAAAGTTGGTGGAAAAAATGGAATGAAAAATCATCGAATTTTTCCACCAACTTAGGGAAGCCCCATTGTATATATATTTAATAGAGACTGTCGATGTTTGCGTGTTTTGAAGCTGTGCTTAAGAGTTTCAGCAGCTTCTTCCCCCAAAGTGGGGAGCCCAGTCCTCCTTCCTTGTCTGAGTCTGGAAGCTCCGCTGAAACCTGTTCACTTTGGGTGACCCTGCTGGCATTGGAAACACCAGTGACACAGTGTCCAGCACCACAGCCGCACACAGGCCACCGCAGTGCGACACACTGACAGACAAGGACGTCATGCTTGGTAAAGTGGGGGGCTGTGAAAGAAAGGAAGACCCCCAACAAGATGGACTGACCCCAGGACTGCAACAGTGGGCTCAGGCATAGGGACAATTGTGACTGTTCTGTTGTGCATTAGGTCACTGTGGGTCGGAGCCAACTCAATGGCACCTAACACAACAATGCAGTAAGGTTGTCCAAGTCTGTAAGGATCCCCGGTTACGTACTAGCTTACCCATTGGGCGGTTAACTTCAAAGTTGGTAGTTTCTCAGAAGGAGAAAGATGAGACTTTCTGCTGCTGTAAGCACTTATGTCAGAAACCTAAAGGAGGAGTTCCGCCCTGCTCCATAGGTTGGTGTGAGTCAGAATTGACTCGATGGCAGTTGGATTGGTTTTGATCTGAAAGGAGCCCTGGTAGCACTATGGGATTGGCAGTAGGCTGCTCACCTCAAGGTTGGTGGTTCAAACCAACCAGCTGCTCTGAAGGAGAAGGTTGAGGCTCTCTTCCCTAAGAAACCCTAGAATGGGTTGCTATGCGTGCAGTCAACTCAACCGCAATGGGTTTTGGTTTGCTCAAGGTCTGAAAGTGTATTTTCACCTCAGACATGGCTATATTATATTTTTAAGGCGAGATACGTTGACTGGTGCTTATTGATAATGTTTAATTTTACAGAGACATCACCTTCGATTTGGGATATGGAATTGGCTAAGCAGTTAGCTGCAGTAAGTCAACAGCCCTTTCAGAATGGATTCGAAGAGGTGATCCACTGGACAAAAGAGGGGAAGCTGTGGACCTTCCCAATTAACAATGAAGCCGGTAAGTCGCAGCATCAGGCTTTATAACGGTCTTTGATTGAGGTTGTTCCTGGCATATCCTCAGCTTTAGAAGCTAAGTATGTACTTTAATTTCAGAACTGTGTGTGAATCTCTGTAAGATTTTAAAAGAAACCTGACAGTTTTCTAAGAAGAATGTTAGAATTTCATTTAATTCTAGGTGTTAAGGAAAATGAAATTACCCAACAAATGCATCCTGGATTTCCATGATGTAAAAGGGTTGAGTATTGCAATTGATGTCCGTTTTCTGGTTGAGCAGAGTTAGAGATGACCTGGTGGATCACCTGATCCATTGCCGGCATTGGCTTACACTTCAGTCAGAAATAGAGAACCTGACAAATTTCCTCTTATCCTGGTGCTATTTTACTCCTAAAGCTCTTGTACTAATGAGGTGCTAGGTCCTTGTATTAAACCACTTGGAGCAAAAAATGGTAGATTTGGGGAGTTTGGGGAATTCTTTAGCTGCGTAATTTAGATGCTTTGAATAGGCAGTAGGATACTGTTTACCTTCTTGAGGATTTCCTGGAGATGCCACCTCTTCCTGACTTGTGTTTTGCATTTTTTATGACACCCATGCTGTCGCCAGCTAAACATTTTCATTCAATTGTTTTTATAATTTACGTGTGGTGTGTGTGTATGTGTGTGTGTGATTGAGAACATATACAGCAGAGCCTACACTGATTGATTTATTTCTGCACACCCAAGTCAGTGGCGGTGATTGATTACATTTTTAGAGTTGTGTAGCCCTTCTCACCATTTTTTCTGAGTGGCCTCCCCCCCATTAACATAAACCCTTGTTCCCCTAAGATTCCTATGCAGTCATTGGAGCTGTCATTTGATCCCATAGTGTGTTAGATAGGGACCTCTAGAGAAACAAAACCAGGACACTTTATATATATATTATGGATAGACATATGCAGCACAAAGCTAATTAGTCCACACGGCAATACAGAGGGCTTAGTTCAGCTCACTTCCATGGAACAGTTAATGTATTGGAAGTCCTTCAACTCACAAGGCTGCTGGGTCCAAGGTCAATCTAGCAGACAGCAGAGTGTTCCCTCGGCAATGCAGGCAGTCTGGCCCCAGGCAGTAAACAGCAGGGCGGGTCACCAACAGTCAACAGCTTCCTGAAGCAGGCCTGGATGGGATATATCAAACTCAAGCGATGCAAGAGGACAGGATCTGACATCCTCAAGCTCAAGCAATGTAAAACCAGCAGCATGGCAAAGCAGATCTCGAAGGAACCTCAGGCTCTAGTGACATGATCCACATACATGTTGACTGTCCCACAGTGTAGCTCGCAACTTGAGGCAGAGCACTAGCTAAAGCAGCAGCATGCTGGTCTGATCACCAGAGAGCAAGAGAGACAGGGCCGGGGCTTGCTGAGCCATTTATCTCTTTGTCCTCCAATCCAACTGCGACCTTTTTTATCCCACATGTTCCTATTGTCCAGGTTGGCACAAGAAGCCTACCTATCACATAGGTATTAATTTTTTAAAGAGCGCCGTGTTCAGGTAGATATGCTTTTATAGAGCAAGTGGGTTTTCCATTCAACACGTCTGTGTGCATTTTGTTTTGTGCCATCGATTACAATCCCCACCGTGGAACAGCACCCTTCCCGAGTTTCCATCTGCCATTCCCATCCCTTCCTGCTTCTGAGCTTTCTTCCCAAGCCAGTGCTGCCCTTTGGACCTTGGGTGGCGGTTGCTCTAAGTGTGAACCTGAGCCTATAATAGGCCTGCCTGTTATATGATGGCAAGTGGAGGGTCATGAGGGTGAAGGCAGTTCCAGGTTAGAAGGGTGTTGAAGGGCCGTAGTCTCAGAGCCTCCACTAGTCTCTGTCAGACTAGTAAAGCCTGGTCTTTTTGGTGATGGAGCTTTGTTCCAGATGCTCCCTGCACACACTCCACCCAGGAGCCCCTATTGTGATCCCTTTCAGAGCGCTCAGCGGTGGTAGCCAGGCCACATCTAGTTCCTCAGATCTCAGAGCTGTGGAGGCTGGCATTTGTGTGGGCTCTATGCATGGGGCTGGTTGTTTTCTTGTGTCTTTGATTTTCTGCACTCCTCTTGCTCTGGTGGCAGCTCACCAAAGTAGAATGTAGAACACTAGATTATGACATGCCAGTGGACCTTGATGACACCTGAAATTACAGTCCTGAGCCCCCAACTTAGTGAGTCATTCCAGGGTGTTTGGTTATGACTAGTTTTTTTTCACTCTCCCCCTGTATGCACAGCTATATCCCTGGATACATTTGTAGCATGTAGGAATACATATGTAGAAATAGTCCCTTCAGGACACACGCACAAGCTGCTTGATATTTTGAGGAACTGCCATCATAGCCAGAGCCCCAGTGGTTAGGTAATTTCCTTATATTCCTAGTGTTGGCAATTTAAAGTTCACAACATGCTATGCTTTTTTCTACTAATAATTACCTTTGTGAAGATGCAGGTAGTTATTTTGTTTTTTTAATGCTTTACTTTGATGGTTTTGGGAAAAAGACAAAAGAGTTTTTGATCTTATTTTGGTTTTATTCCTGAGGTTACCAATGCTGATTTTATAACATAATGAAAATAACATGTCCTGTGTTTGTAGTTTACTTTCCAGGTGTGCATATTACAGCAAGAAGGAATATAACAGCTAATTAGTCACACAGCATTACAGAGGACTCAGTTCAACTCACTCTCACTGTAGTGGAACAGTTAATATACTGAAAGTCCTTCAACTCATGCAGGGCTTTGGTCCAAGGTTAAGGAAGCAGACAGCAGATTCTTTGCTCCGGCAAAACTAAGCAGAGTCTGCCCAAAGACAGCAGGGTGGGTCAGCAGCAGTCAGTAGCTCAGGATCTTGGTGAAGCAGGCCTGGACAGGATATTGCAGAACTCAAGCTATGCAAGCTGACAGGATCCAGCAGCTTCAAGTTCAAGGGATGTGCACCAGAGAGTGGTGAAGCAGGTCTCAAAGGAGCCTCAAGCCCTAGTGACACAATCCATGGGTTGGCTTGGCCCATGGGCGGTGTAGCTCACAGGTTGAGGCAGAGACCCAGCTAGAGCAGCAGCACATTGGCCTGGTCACCAGAGAGCAAGAGAGAGGGGCAGGCCTTGCCGAGCCATTTATCTCTCTGCCCTCCAGTCAAACTACAACCTGATTAATCCCACATGTTCCCATTGGCCAGGTTGGCACAATAAACCTAACTACCACACCAGGAATCTGCATTTTTACTGTACAACACTATTAAGGTATATTAGTTACCACTTCAGGCATATATATTCTTTTCCTAATTAGTATCTTTTTAAATGTTAAATATTTCATTTTAGACTCTGAGTCCCTTCTCTGTGCTTTGCCAGCATGGAGATTTATTTATAAAGCTGTTGGGTGGAATTGTTCCCACTTATATTTTTAGTACTTGCCTTATGTTGGATTTATATTAAAATCATTTTTATTTTTGTTTCGGCTTTCATTTTAAAATGAAAAATCGCCTTTTTAAAAAAACAAAACACATTACCTAATGAACAGAGTAATTCCTTGAATACAGCTTAGCTATGCATGTAACTTACTGCCATGAGTCCATTCTGACCTTCAGGACCCTGTAAGACAGGGTAAAACTGCCCCAGTGGTTTCATGAGACTGTAACTCTTTACAGGAGGAAGCCTCGTCTTTTGCCCTCGGAGGGGGAGGTGGGTGTGAAATGCTGACTTTGTGGTAGCAGCCTAATGCATAACCACTGTGTCACCAGGGCTCCTCATGTATTTAGAGCATGTTGTCAGGAGAGACCAGTCCCTGGAGGAGGACATCATCCTTGGTACCGAAGAGGATCGACACAGTGGATTCCTTGGTGAACTCAAACACAGGCACCATTGTGGGGATGGCGCAGGACCTGGAACTTCACTGTGTTGTACATGGGGTCGCCAGGAGTCGGAAATGACTGACCGGCACCTAACAGCAACATAGATGTGACCCTGAATTAGGGCCCTTTTAGAAATGCTCTCCAAGAGTAATTCTTATGTAGTGACGTCAGTGGGCTCCCAAGCTGAGTCACGAAGGCTAACCACACTGTTGTTTTGTTCTTCAGTGCCGTCTGTTTTCTGAAGTTTGATCCTTTGCTGTGGGAAATGCTGTCTATACTTGAATATAAGCCGAGGCACCTAACTTCACTACAAAAAACTGGGGAGCTTTTTCAACAATAAAAATGTGCTGGAAAAAAATCGGCTTATTCTCGAGTATATACGGTATGTTCTGTAATAGGAGGTAACAAGCATACTTCGAAAAGTTCAAAATTACCGGAAGATCTTAAGAGGGCCGTACTGCTATGTGGGAGCAGCACGTGTCAGGGTTCCATTGTAGGGAAGTCTGTGTATTACAGAGATAATTAAGGAAAGTAGATTATCAGCTATGTGCTATCAGAAAAGTCACAGAATCTGTAGGTTATCTTAGATCATATTGTGACCACTAGATAAGAACCTTGATGTCGTGACAGTAGAAGGAGTAATCATTTAAGAATAAATACAAGTGGAAACAAGGAACTAAAATGGCTCATTTTACCTTAGTGCTAAAATAATTTCCTTGTAAAAACAGTCATTGTTTTTTTTTTTACTCCTCAGTTGTTAGACCATTTCTCATTGTACTTAGTAGTGTGTGATTATACTCAGTCATATTGAGAGCAGAATCAGACGCAGTGAATTGACCTCTGTTTTATACAGCTTCCTTTTCACTGCCTCTTTATCTTTAGGGTCATCAAGAGTCAATGAGTTTGGTTTTTGCATATTTGTCTTAAACATTCAGTAGCCGCAGTGGGGCAGATACAGGTTGGAGCCCGCAGTGGGAGACTCAGAAGTGGTGCAGTGAGCCCTTTCAGGAGCTCACGGGTGAGGTTGGGTTGCTGGCCGAGCGCCGCTGTCCTTGAGCAGGGCGGTGCTGTTTTGATGCCTTAACAACATCACAGTAACGCGCCCTCATGGGGAAAGACTGAAGGCAACCCATGCTTGTAACAAATTCTTTGGGGGAGAGGGGAGGAGGAAGGGAGGGGGAGGGGAACAAAGGAAAATGAGCTGATTCCGGGAACCCAAGAGGAAAGCGAATTTTGGGAATAATGAGGGCAACAAATGTATAGATGTGCTTTACACAATTGATCTATGTGTTGTGATGAATTGTATGAGCCCCAATAAATTGATTTTTTTTTAAATGCACAATAAAAAAAAAATTCTTCATCGCAGCCACTTTCACTGGTGACTTTTAAATCTTTGAGCCTTTTCGTGCACTAAAGTAAGACTAAGTAAGAACCGTTTCTGTACCTACTGACCTACGGATTCTTAAGAGACGCAGGAACGGCCTGCCTTCCCAACCCAGAGACTGCGTGCATGTGTGCCCTTTCAGCCCACTTTAAATGGTAAATGTGTATTTATCTGTTACGTTATTTTGACCTAAATTGGACTCAGTGCCCTGCAGCATTTTTTTCCTTAGAAGTATGCCTTGAAAACTTCTTCTTGTCAGTTAGAGAGTAACTCATACTGTACTCCGTCTAGTAGTTGTGCTGTCTCCCATAGAATGAATGGATTGCGGCTGATTGATCATCTTCCTGCTGATGCACCGAGCGCCAGCGGCTCCTTACCAGGCCCTGGTGGACGCTTGAATATTGCAGTAAGATCAGCTGCTAGAGAAGTCAAAAGATAGGTGAACTTGAAATGGCAATAAATATGGACCCATTCTAATAAAGATAGTCCATTGAGCATCCAGTCAACTAAGAATCCTGTTTCTCCTCCCTTGGAGTAATTCTAGGTATTATTAATCTTTCAAATGTTCTGAGGGAAATATATATATGTTTTTGTTTGCCTTTCCATGATTGCCAAACAAATGGATTATCTTTTCATTCGTATTTTTCCCCTGTGATTACTTCTTCATAGCCTCTGACTTATTGTTCAGTTGGGTTGTTTGTCTTATCAGTGTCTTATGGACTTTAACTTATCATTTGTTATATTGTCTCAATCTCACTGTTCTTTCTTTTAACATTTTTTGACTTTTAAAATCACTAGTAGCTTGTAGTTAGAGAAGCACAAGCACCACAGGTTTATGATATAAAGTGAATTGCACGGACTGAAAATATACACTCTTTAGATTTCTCTAAGCTTCTTGACTCTGTAGGTTTATTGTATTTTGCCAGATAAGTGAATTCGTTAGTCTTTATTTCCTTGAATACTTACTTTTCAGACCTACGTCCTTTCTCCTCCCATGTGAGTCTAGTCATATAAATCGTTTTATTTATTTTTTAATTGTCCCAGTCCCTGAAACTCTGTTCTCCCTTTTATCCATGTGTTTCCTCTTTCTTAACCTTGTAGTTTGTCAGATAATATACAAGAACACTGTGTGCAGTGTAACTAATCTCTACAAGAATCCTACTGCACTATTTTTATCTTCACTGTACTACGGAGGAAATCGATGCTCAGAGAAGTTTATCAGTTTGCCCAAAGTCACCAAGTTGTTCAAACTGAGGGCCAAGTCTCGGTCTAAATTGAAAGCCCTTAGCTGCAATCCACTGCAGCCTCATCAATATTGATTTTAGCATGGAAGGTCTCGGTATTCAAAGTTGTAATGTCCTTTGTTTGTGTCTGGTTTCCTAGGTTTTGATGATGATGGCTCAGAATTTCATGAACATATATTTCTGGATAAATACCTGGAAGATTTTCCAAAACAAGGACCAATTCGCCATTTCATGGAGCTGGTGACCTGTGGCCTTTCCAAAAACCCAGATCTGAGTGTGAAACAGAAAATCGAACATATCCAGTGGTTTAGGAATTACTTCAGTGAAAAGAAGGACATTCTAAAGGGAAGCGACATTCAATTCAATGGAAAACATTAGGAATCTTATGTCTAGCTTATTGGAAATAGCTATTATTACTAAATAAAATCACTTTACAAGAATTTTTTTTTCTGCTTTGGGGTTATTTTACAAGAATTACTTATTGTATCATTTGAATAGTACAACTAACTGCTTAAGCTATGTATTGTACAGTTTTTGTAGGCAATCTTCATCAAGTGAAGAAGTTTTCCTCTTCCTAGTTTGCCAAGAATTTTTATCATGAGTGTTGGATTTTCATAAGCGCTTTTCTGGATCTATTGATATGACTCCGTGATTTTTTTTTCTTCTTTAGCCTGTTGATATGTTGAATTACATTAATTGCTTTTTTTGTTGTTTTTCCCCCCCAAATATTGAGTCAGGCCTGTATCCCCGGCATAAGCCTCACTTGCTTGTGAGGTGTAATTCTCTTTGTACATAAATCTTTTGTTGAGGATTTTTATGCAGTATCTTGGCATGTGATGTTTCTTCCTAGCCCTGTCTTTGTCTGGTTTGAAGGGAATGCTGCCCTTGTAGAATGAGTTAGCGGGCGACCCCCCTTCTGTTGTTTTTTAAACTTTGAGTCGCTTGATGTTAATTCCTCTGCAATTGTGTGGTAGAAGATGCCAGTCAAACCATCTAGATGCTTGGTGTTTGGTTTTGGAAGGTTGCTCACTGTTGATTCAACGTCTTTGGTAGCTGTAGACTGTTCAGGGGACTTAATTTTCCTTGAGTGAGTTGTATTCGGTTGTGTCTTTCTAGAACTGCACCGTCTCATCTGAGTTAGACACTTTGTGACCATGGAGTTGCCTTGGTCTTTTCCTGTCCTGTCCACGGTCATGGGGTCAACAATTACCCGTTTATATTTAATCACTTGTTGTTTTTTTCTTGGATATCCTGACTAGGTATTTCTCAATCTTATTGATTTTTTTACCCCCACAGAACCAGCTTTTATTTCCCTCTAAATTACCCATTTTCATTGGTATCTTCCTCTAATTTTTATTATTTAATTTCTTCTGCTTGTTTTCAGCTTAATTTGTTGTTCTTTTTTGCATTTCCTGAGATAGAAGCTTTGGTTATTCATTTTAGGTCTGCCTTTAAATGCATGTGTTCAGTGCTATAAAATCCTCTGAGCACAATTTTTTTGCTGTGCCCATACATTGTGGAAAGTTATATTTTCATTTTCATTTAGTTCAAGGTTTTCCCAATTTCCCTGGTGATATCTTCTTTGAGTCATTTGCTGTTTGGATGTGTGTTGCTTCATCTCCAAATATTTCGAGATTTCCTAGCTGTCTTTCTGTTACTGGCTTCTAATGGCATTGTGATCAGAGAACATACTTGTCTGCTTCCTTTTTCTTCTAAGAGTGTCGAGGTATGGGTTGCGGCCCAGGATGTGGTCTGTCTTGGTGAGTGTGTCTCAGGCCAGGAGCAGGGTGTGTATTCTGCTGTTCTTAGATGACATGTAAGTGCCAGTGAGCAGCGCTGGTCACTGGTGGCCTCTTCAGCTATGGCCTTAATGCTTTTCTGCCTGCTGGGTCTATCGATTACGCATAGAGGGTTTTCGAAGGCTCCACTATAGTGGGGCATTTGTGGTTTGATCAGCTTTTGCTCTATTTGTTCCGAGGCTGTTGTTAGACGCATACACTTTATTGTTACCTCTTCTTGGAACATTTGCCCCTAGCGTGATGCAATTCCTTTCTTTACGCTGCCACGTTCCTTGCTCTGAAATCGTATTGATAGGGAACTAATATTAAGTATTCCACCTCTTTTGACTGATATTAGCATGGTGTAATCTTTCTTCATCCCTTTACTTTTAACCTGTGTTAGCTTTAAAGTCCACTTCCTATGGACAACGTACGTACGGTGGGCCTTGTTTTGTTACCCACTCTGAGAGTTTTCTGTTATGTGCTCTCTTTAAATTGGCATTGGACTGCATTTAAAATGATTTTTGCTGTAGTCGAGTTAATACTTAGAACTTGGTTACTTTTTTCTACTCGTTGCCTCTGTACTTTTATGTTCTCGCTTTTCATGTGTATGTGTGTCTATAATTTATGTTAGGTACTGTATGTGGTCGAGTATAAGCCGACCCGAATATCGGCTGAGGCACTTAATTTTACCACAGAAACTGCATAAAAATGTGCCGGAAAACTCAGCTTAAACATGAGTATATATGGTAATTGTCGTACCTTCATATTTCTTCTCTTTTAGCATATCACTTATGCTTTTAAAAATTTTTTTTCGTGATTACCCTGCAGTTTGCAGTATACATTTATAACTAGTCTAAGTCCACTTTCAAATAATGCTACTTTACTCTTCAATTAATACAGATATAACTGAGCATTCCTAATTCATCCCTTTTGTCCAGCGGTTCTCAACCTGTGGTCGCCTAAGACCATCAGAAAACACGTATTTCCTATGGAATTAGGAACCGAAACACCGCCCTTCTAGCCCTTCTATCCGTCTCCAGACGGGGCCTCCCACATTGCAGATACATACAAGTACCCGGCATGAATGCTTCCAGACAAGATTTCATTGATTTGTCATTAGAAATAAATATTTCACACTATATAAATACATACTGTTTTTGTGATTAATCTATGCCTTAATTATGTTCAATTTGTAACAGTAAGAATACATCCTGGATATCAGAATTTACATTACAATTCATAACCATAGCAAAATTACAGTTGTGAAGTAGCAATGAAAATTTTATGGTTGAGGGTCACCACCACATGAGGAACTGTATGAAAGGGTCGCAGCATTAGGAAGGTTGAGAACCACTGCTTTTGTCCTTTATAACATTTCTTCCGTACATTTTACTTATCCATAAGCTATACTCATCTAGTACATTGTTACTATTATTATTTTAAACAAATGGTTATCTGTTAGATCAGTTAAGAATAAGAAGAAAAAGATATTCTCATTTAATTTTTTCTTGAGTGCTGTTTCTTTCTGTAGGTGTGAGTTTCTGCCCTTTCCCTCTCTCTGAAAACTTCTTTGTACATTGATTCCTTGCAAGGCATGTCTAGTGGTGACACATACTTCAATTTCTGTTTGTCTAAAAAAAGTATTTCTTCACTTTTAAAGGATAACTTTTCGGAGTATAGTTTTCTAGGTTGTCAAGTCCTTTTTATTAAGGAAGGTAGAAAAATTTTCAGAATGGCTGATTGGAGATGCCAGGGAGATTCCTCTATTTCTTTAGAAACTCTCTTTAAAGTATTTCATTTTTCATTAAAGTATTTCATTTTACTCCTCGTGTTGCCATGGTTTCTGAAGATAAATCAGATACCATTTTTATCTCCCCCCCTCCGCCCCCTGGCTTCTATCAAGATTATCTTTTTGTCTCTGATTTTTCTAGTTTGAATATAATATGTCTTTAGGTATAGATTTTATTTGGTATTTACCCTGCTTCGTTTTCTCTAGATATTCTGGATGTGTAGTTTGGTGTTTGTCAGCAACTGTAGAAAATTCTTATCCATTACTACTTAAAATAGTTATTTTGTTTCTTGCGCATTTTTATATTACCAATTATACTTATGCCTTTCGTAATTGTCCCATAGTTTTTGGATACTCTGTTGTGTTGGGGTTTTTTTTGCTTTGCATTGCATTTCTGTTTAGGGATTTTACTGACATACACTTATGCTCAATATATGAGACTAAATCTTAGGGAACAGAGCGAAAGAACTAAGGTCAAAACAAGTAAATGAAATTTACAAATATGATATAGAGGATGAACAAAATCAAATATTGGTTCTTCAAAAGGCTAATAAGAACCTGTCATGATGTACTTTTAGAATGTAGAGAAACATACTCTTAGTCATAAGAAGGGAAACAGCTAAAGATCCTGTGGGGATAAAGTGATTTTTTTTCTTTCAAGAGCCTACATCATGCCAAAAATTTAGAAAATTTATGAAATGGACAAATTCCTTAAAATTAGCTAGCAAAACTATTTTAAAAGGAAAAAAAATCAGTAGTTTAATGACCACTAAAGAAATGAGGTCAGAGCAGTTACTAATGGTAATTGCTATGGTCAGTAAACAATTGGTCAGTAAATTGGTCATATTCCAATCATGTAATAATTATTCCAAGGTATAGAAAAAGAATGAACACAGCCTAACGAAATTACAATAGATTAACAGACATTGATATTAGTCATGAAACCCACTTTAAAACAAAGTAGCAAATTAAATCCATCAATGAGTAGGAAAGAAATTAATGAGTTTACACTACAAATGCAAGAGTGGGTCAGCATGGGGAGAGGAAATATGCAGAAAAGTTTGATAAAATTCAGTAGCCCCTCATAAATTTTGAAAATGAAAACTTGAAGTAGAAGGGAGCCTACTTATGGCATTTACAAAATCTTATGGTGAATCAGTAAACCACTTTAAGATACTAATTGTAGCCGATATAATCACAATTTCTTTTTTTTAATCATTTTATTGGGGGCTCCTACAACTCTTATTACAATCCATACATCAATTGTATCTGACATATTAGTACATATATTCCATCGTTCGTTTCAAGACCTTTACTTTCCATTGAGCCCTTGGGATCATGTTGCACTGAGGTTGTAGTATAACAAGAAGGAAAAAAACAGCTAGGATTGACAAGTCACTCAAATGTCACCCCCTTTAAGGCACGCCTTTCTATAATCTCTCTCTGAGTGCAGGTGGAATTTAAGATTTGCTTCTGGCAAATAAAATACGGCAAAGATACTTCCTCCCTGGATTAAGTTACATTATATGAGAAGAATGGTGGAGTAGTCACGACTCCTTGTTAGTGGTATGGAGTGCTGCCCTTGAATAAGTAAAAGGTCACGCTGTGGGCAGGCCTGTTAGAGAACCACATGGCAGCAAACGGCGAGTGGCCTCTAGGCGCTGAGAGCAACCCCTGCAGAAAGAAGAAAACAGATCTCAGTTACAGGACCAGTTCTGCTACCGGCTCTGCAGAGGAACCCACCAGGCCAACGCGCAGCCTGGTGAAACCCTGAGCAAGGACCCGCCGAACTAATGCACAGGAATGATGAAAATGAATGTGTGGTGTTTTAGGGCACTGCGTTTGTGGCAGTTTGCTAATGTAGTAATAG